TAGGTTTGGCATGATGAATGGATGGGGAATTTCAGTTTAAAAACAAATTCAAAAGAATTTTTGACACTTATAATAAAGATGCTAAAATGGAGTAGATGTGTGAGTTTGTGGGGGCAGATAGGGTATGGGATGTGAAGGTGAAGAGAAAACTGAAAGACTGAAAAATTGATGAGTACAGCAGCGTGCTTTTGTCATTGACAAAAACAAAATTGAATACAAAAAATGATAAAAAAAAATTTGGGAGCTTAATGAGAAGAAAGGTTTCTCGGTGAAATTTTTATACAGCTGTCTAACTAAGAAAGATAACAGCTGCAGCACGTTCGCTTCTTATAAACAAATTTGAAAATCTAAAGTCCCTCCTAAAATGTTTTTTTTTTCTTTTTTTGCGTGGGAGGCGGCCAATAAATGTATTTTGACCTTGGATATGCCAAAAAGGAAGGGGAATGTGTTTGTTATGTCATGCTGTTGAGGAATCATGCAACAACTTATTATTAGTTTGCCCATTGACATACAACTTATGGACCTCTATTTTTTGAATTGTTATCGTTAAATTGGGTTATGGCTGGGAGTGTGAGCAATGAGTTGTGGGCGTGGGTGAATATTTGTAAAAAAAAATATCATTTGTTCCTTATTCCACTTACAATATTTTAGGTAGTGTGGAAGGAAAGGAATTGTAGTGGTTTTGAGGGTATAAAGATTAACTTTACAAAGATGAGAGATAGATGAATTCATACTTTTGATTTTATTTTGTTGGGTCATGACATCAAAGATATGTGGGATTTTAATATTATCATAAGCCACTTGATTGACATGTAACTACTTTGTATTTGGGTAGTACCCTTTTGGTACCTTGTGCATAATAATATTTTTATTTTATTTACAAAAAAAATAAGGTAAAATATGAATCTGCCTATTCATGTAATGAAGACACTTAATCGGTCTTTCAATTGAGTTGCATGGATAAATTCTATTAGCCAAGCTAGATAAGAGATTCTTTGCAAAAAAGGAATCAAACTTAATAATCAACTTGTTGACATCCTCATCAAACTTTAATCTACTCATCTTGATGGTTGTGGATTAAACCACATGCACTTACTTTGATTAGTTGGTCAGTTCCAAAACTATCTATATTTAGCTTGTATAATTTATCATAGATACTCTCTATGTTAGGATGCATACAGCAGTAGATACTTATACACCAGCTGCTGCAGAGAATCTGACAACAACAACTCATCATTCCTTACTCACGAGTCATTATTGTCATTTTACAAATTTGTTATAATAAACTTTATCATCATTTGTTTTCTCTATCGTAACATGTCTTTATATCTCTATAAATAAAAGCTATTTTTTCTCAACAAAATAAAATGAAGAGTTATCTAATATTTTATCTCTCTAAGCCACCCAAGTATAGCTTTTGGGTTCCTAGGATGGGATGGAGGGAAATGTCAAGATGAAGGTAGATATCATGAAATTAAGGAGTCATAAGAATGAGCTTTAATGCTATTAGAATAATGGCATTTCTTATTATACCATTAAAAAAAAAATCATTTGTTTTTATTTAAAAAGTTCAAATTACAGTCAGAAAATTTATTTTTGATGAAACATTCAATATTTAAAATATAAATAAAATTTTTACAAATTAAATAATTAGAATTATAATATTAATTTATGTTTTATAATACAATAAAAAGCACATAACTTAAATAACACAAGTTTAGTGAGAAATTCAGAAAAATTACTTTCGTCCAAAATAAATGAAAAAAAAAAGAAACTATTTGAATTGGAAAATGTATAAAAAATATTTGAGGGTGAAAAAAACATAAAAAGTATGCACATAGAATGGTACTTTTTTTTATTATTAAAATTTTTATTTTTTGAGAAAAGAAAATAAATAAATAACTTCTGAAACACTCCTGAAAGAAATAATAATAAAAAGAAAATTACAAGTTTGGAGAACATGCCAAAACAAACAGAGAGAGAGAGAGAGAGAGAGAGAGAGAGAGTACTCCATGTTTGGCGACAAAAGAAAATTACCGAGAAACAGAGAGAAAAAGGAATGAATGTATAGGAATCTTCACCCGAGGACCAGGAATCCTAAGCAACTATTTTGCTTTCCTTTATATTACCAAGAAAGCTAAGATTCTGTTTCCTGATTTTCCTTGTAACCCAATTTAAAGCCCCAACACAACCTTCTGGCCAAAAAAGGGATTTAAATCCGACGATCCCCGTTCAAAACTTCCTCTGACTCCAAACAGTCTTCAATTCTACATCCTCCGTTCAGGTACATGTTGATCTTTGCAATTGATTGTTAGCTTTTTGTGCTTGTATTCTTCTTATTTTTCTTAGACGTAATTTTTTATTATATTATTCTCCTTTGTTTATCGTTGATTCGTGCTGCTTCTTTTTCTTTTTTTTGGTGAAAAAGATATGAACACTTAATTCCTAGATCTAATGGAGAATACTTTTGAATTGCCGATGAATAAAGTTTTGTCTTTTTTTTTTTTTTCCATGGTATAAAGATTTTTCCCCAGGGAATATAAAGCTCTCTTTATCTTCTATTCATTAATTTTATATTTAGCGAACTGAAACTTAATCTCCCTCTCTTTCAAAGGGATGAAAATCCCGATAACCAAACAGACAATTATTATAATTTCCCTTTCTGCTGCGTGTAAAGTTTGATCGAAATGGCGTCAAGAATAATTTCCTTTTTTCTGATTATTGGAAGGTCTATAAATCTCTGACTTATTTTGTTTAGTTTATTCACAAATAATAAGAATAAGATTTCTGGTTTCTAGGCTTTGTTGAAAATCACCTCTACCGTCTAGGTGGTTTTTATCGTAATCAAATAGTGCAGGAATTTCGTTAAGGTTTTGTGAGTTTTTGTTGTGCTTAACTTGTGTATGTGAAAATTTCAAGTTTTAATCGAGTTTTTAGAAAGACATTCATGGCGGAAGAGCACAGATTTCAGGCACCAAAATTGTGCGCGAACAACTGTGGTTTCTTTGGCAGTCCAGCCACCCAGAACCTCTGCTCAAAATGCTTCGGTGATCTACAGCTCAAGGAACAACAATCGTCATCAGCCAAACAATCGCTCAGCAAAGCCCTAATTTCTGCCCCATCTTCCTCCTCCTCCTCCTCCTCCACCTTCTCCCCACCATCGCCAATCGACGTCTCATCGCCGTCCATTCAGGTATTAGAAACGGCGAAGAAGCACGCGGCGGTTGGGGAACGGGAGGAGAGGTCGGAGGCGGCGGCGCGTGTGGAGGAGCAAGAGCAACGGCAGAGGCCGGGCAGGTGCACGGCGTGCGGGAAGCGCGTGGGGTTGACGGGGTTCAAATGCAGGTGTGGGTTGGTGTTATGCGGGACGCATCGGCACCCCGAACAGCATGGATGTAGCTTCGATTTCAAGGGGATGGGGAAGCAGCAGATCGCCGTAGCCAACCCAATTGTGAACGCAGAGAAGCTGGAGAAGATATGATTAATTAATTTAATTAATCAGTTAATAAAAACGAAGGTTGGTTCTTTGTTTTATAGGGAAAGTGATGATGGGGGATTTTGGTGAAAAGGGAACAGGTGGTGTCAGTAAATTGAAGGGAATTTTCTTTATAATAATGAAATCAATCATGGGCGCAGTAAATTAAAATTTATTACCATTTTGGATATAAAGAAATTTTAGGCTGCAAATGTCAAATAAGAAATTTAACAACTTGTCAAATACCAATTTTCATTTCTTAAATTTATATGTAATTTGATGAAGTTATTTCTCTGTGATTTCCTTCAAACCCCTCACTACTACCATCTTCTCTTCCCTCGCCCTCCTACTTTTTGTCTAGCCCCCATCCTCTTTAACCAGCTACTTCATGTATGGTCCAGGGCCCTCAGTCCATAAGATTACAAATCAAAGACATGGTCCATTCCATCCAACTCCTGCTCCAGACTGCTCAAATGAATTTTTTTAATTTATATATATATATATATATGAATGAAACTAACATGCGTTATGCAAATAAAACATTCTTTTGATAATTAAAATATTTTGTAAAATTCAATCTGTTTTCTCATGCATCATTTAACACAACAAACTACTTTAAATCATGTCTCTTTCTCTTCCTCTAAGCTTTGCATCCAACTGGCCAAACACTTCAACAGAGATTGAGATGGGGGAAAATGGTTGTCTTTCAAATTCTTACAATCCCTTGTTTCAATTGTCATGATTCTTGCTGGATCTTACTCATTTAACAGTAATCAATTTTGTGCGGGTCCATTCATGAGGACATGACATTGGCGAATGTAGGTTGCAGCATACCCCACTCACGAACTAACCATTATTTTTATAGAATACCAACTGTCTTTACTGTTGCTGATTGATTCTCCAAACAACAAAAAGTTCCGCATACCCTCAGATTTACGGCCTTACCAAATGGACAAGAGTTAAAAGTTGAGAACACCAAGTATTATCAGCATGTAAACATACCAAAGTAACAATTGCGTTTGGCTAGGACCAAACAAAAAAAAAACAAAATGAACAGGAACTTTTCCGGGTCACGATCACTTGGGATTGCTGTCAGCCTGCAAATGCAAATACAGCTCAATCACTTACAGACAACACTTTGCCTTTCATGGTTCCAATTTTCCGGTAATTCAATGACATTGAAGGGATACCTTTTGTGCAACTGATTTGATCTCACGCACCCTTTCGTCCACCAACTGCTGCAACTGCTCTCTCTGATTTGCCTGATTCTCATCCATCTGAATGCTACTAGCTTCACCATCATGCGAGTTAAACATGACAAATGACATTTCCGGGTCATGATCACTTGGGATGTCAACCAATCGCTTCCCAGCAGCCACAGAATCTTTCCCTAATATATCTGCCTTAACATGATTTGAAATAATAATGATATAATCCTCCAAATACTTGTCGACCGGATCAAGGCCAAGATAAATCAAAACCTCCCAACACTTGAGAAATTGTTTCTTGTTGATTTTCAAAATCTTCCTTACGTCCTCCACTGCATTTGATGGTGGCATGAATCGAGGTGTATTACTTTTCTTCGATAATTTCCCATGCTTCAGACTTAGAACAGCTGAAATAATTGCTTGCTGGATTGGTTCAAAAGTAAGCAGGCGGTGTATGTCAACACAAGTTCGGATATGTTGGAAGTACTCCAGTGGCTCTTCAACTGTCAAATCATAAACATTTTCAGATATTGCAACATTGTTGAGCACCTCTACGAGGTAACTGCCATAACCCATGTGCTGATAGGGCGGGAGTACCAAAATCTGCCATGAAGGGACATTTAGTGGTTAAAACAAACATCATAAGAACAACACCAGGTTGTCAACATTTATTGGCAGAAAGAACTTCAAAACTTAAACCTGGCTGAGTCGCAACCGTGAGCTGTCAGGATAGCGGTAAAACCGATAGACTGCTGAAAAACCAAGAAGTCTACAAGGAGGCCCCTGCTGAATCAAGAGATACAACTCCCATCCTGGATCAGTGACATCAATCGGATTGCTACCTGATCGAAGAGAAGCAGAATGCATCATTACTTTAAAGTTGGACTTCTTTCCTCCTTTTTCTTTTGAAGAAAAACCTTGTACTTTAAGTAGAACAAAAAACTGCAGGAATTGGCTTGTAACTTGTGAGATGAAAAAATTACCATCAATAAGAAGAAGAACAAGGGGTACCAAACGACTGTATAGGTGGCCGGCAATAGAATTGCCGATCCCCAAGCGCACAACCTTTGCAGAAGACAGAAAAAACAAACATAAACTCATTTTAGAAAAATTACATGCATAGTAGTAGATTAAGTGAAGAAAAATTATTTTAAAAAAAAGATTAAGTGAAGAAAAAGAAAATAGAAACTTGTTAATTTCATAATGATTCTTGATACAAGTATATCTATCACCGAAAAGGGTTCAGTTTAAGAAAAAAAGGCAGAATCTTGGAGTTCAAAGGGCTAGAGATTTTAGGATCTGTAAAACGTTCATGGAGAGCTTGTGGACCTCATAGATTTAGTATCTATTTGGGTGGCACCATTTTGAGGCCTGGTCAATTTTCTCTCCTAACAAAAATCCAGGCTACAACCAGTTAAAATCATGTATTGTGACCATCATTGTCGGACTTGGGTGGGATCACCTTCATTGGCCTAATCTAAAATGTGTTCCACTATCACCACAGAATGGAGACCATTAAAATGGCAAGTCTACCACAAAGCCCCAAGTCAATATTCCCCGGAAAAAGCACAACTTTTGCAGCATGCAGATGAATAAAGATTATCAACATTTACCTCGACATCTGCTGTAGATGCTTCAGAATCACTATTTGATTTAGTAATTAGTCTATTTGGAGCTTTCGGTTGAAGTACTTCCCCATTTGAGACAATATTTCTGAAACAGTAAAACTCAGGAATTGAAATATTTATAAGCAGAAAGCCAAAACCATATGTTAATAGGAAATTAAATGAAACATAATTAGCATGATACCTAACAAAATCACTTTGTGTTGAAAAAGTTTGAAGAAAATCATCTTTATTCTCAACAAGAGTCTCAGCAAAAATTCTCTGTGGAAAATAAGTAAATAGTCAGAAGAGGCATCAAGAATCATAAGAAATGTTCAAATGATAGTCTTAGTCCATGCATACCTGCAGAGCAGATTTCAAGTCTGTAATACCTTTGCCCCCCTTAAAAAAAAAAGAAAAATAGAAGCAATCAAATAATGCCATCAGAAAACAAGAAACTTATCAAAAAAGGAAAAAACTTGTCACTCAAAACCAATACTTACATCTGATGAACTTTCATAAATGATGTCAGCATATGCATGAAATGAGATGCAACTAACCCAGACATTTATCTGCAGGTAAGGGATTAAGCATTAGATAAGAAAGAAAAAAAATTACTCTAGAGAATTGACCACATAAGTGGGAGCATTATGGATAGCCAACTGAACTCTGCATTCACCATGTCACATGCATTATAGCAGGGAAGTTACAGTCTGAAAGAATGTATATTACCTTTAACCCTTTGTAACCATATATCTTCCCATCTTTATCAAAAAAGCTATTCAAGTCCACTGGATTGATGCAGCAACCATCTAAGGCCCCCAACTCCTCTTTGCTAGAAACTATGAGATCACCATTTAAGTAAACAAGAGAGTAAAATGAGTCCGAGATTCTAAAGATGGCAATCAAACAGTAAACAGGAATGACAATCATCTAAACAAGAGGACTGATTGATTGAATTCAAAACTAAAACAGCTCTTACACCATGTCACTTATTCATAGCAACCCGGCTAGTTCACATTCTTTCAATTAGTAGAAACAAATATAAATGCATACTCACAAACATTTTACCAAACAAGTAACAACAATTTTTAGCACGTCACGAGTTAAAATACAGGTGCGCTTAAACCAGAGAATTGAACCATCACATGGCAGTTGCTGAAGAATATTGCATACACCATAAAGCAAATACCAAAAGGGTGTAGATTTAATTATCTTTCTATTGAATCAACTGGAGTGTAGCTGCTGGGTCAGGTATGCCGGAAAGGAATTCAACCAAAGAAGAGTACTCCAAAACACAAGTTTGAATAAAGAAACTAATAAAAATAACTCAGCTCATCCACTATCTCTCCTTAATTTTAAAAGCTCCTACTAGATAATTTAGACCGTGAGAGGTACTCTTTTTACACAGGAAAATATGCAAAATTGACAAGGAAAAAAGTTATTCATAACCGACCAACCCGGATATTCAAGCTTCTTAAGTTAGAATTTAGGAGAATACCGATACTACAGAACGCGAATCGTTCGCATTTCTCAGCAACCTAACAGTGTCTTATTGCTCGTCAGTGAGAAATACTGACAGTAGGCTCCTAATATATACAAATTACGGTAATCACGAGTAGCACATTACAAAACCACCACGAAAAAAAAAAAAACTGATGAATAATATATTAACATTAGTTAAATTATACCCAAGTAAATCTTAATGCACTCGCTGGCGTCCACTCCAGCATCTGCCCAAAAGAAAAATGGAAAAGCGTAAGAAAAAACAGAAAACCAAATTTCCAAGAAAACACAAAAAAAAAAAAAAAAAAAAGTGATGTCAAATTCACGAAGGTAGATAGCGAAAAGGAAAGAGAGTATGCCATACCAATTGCGGAGAATCCGACTCGCCTACGCTTCTTGGGGCCAGTGGGCGGATCGCCATTAGATCGGTTCTTCTGGACCATGTAGGGTGATTGGTTAGGGTTTGGGGAAGCGGGAAAGGATACGGAGCAGAGGCGGGAAATAATTGACCGAATGGGATAAAATTAGGGGACTTATAGCAAGGGAGTAGTGCACGTGAATAGTGTATTATGTGGGCCTCCCGTTAAAAACTATTTTAATCTTCACTTTTTATAGTAATTTAAACATCAAAGTGTTGTTACTTCTTGAAAGACACCTCTCAAGGTAAAGGATTTTTAGTCTTTATGTAATAGCAAAAGCTGGTTTGACAATTTAAATTTGTTCTAATTGAATTTAATAATCAAGTAAGTATTCAAAATTTTATAAAACTTACAAAATAAAATTTCAAATCTCAAATTGGTTATGTGTTGAAGAAACTAACAAATAAATTTCACTCTCAATAATTCCTTTTTTCTTCCTTTCACATTTTCTCTCTGTTTTTGTTTCCCCCTTTACAAACATATCTCTTAATTTTTTTACCCACCTTACCCCCAATTTCTCTCTCTCTCACAAATGGCCTAAGGCCATATATGTAGCAATCACGAGTAGGTCAAGGTCCAAAACAAAAGAAGCCAAGAAAAGAGAAAAAGAAGAAAGGGCTATACTTGAATTTTGTTTAAAGTTTCAAATTTAAAAGTACAAAAATCCATTGGAAGACTCAGTGCAGAAAGCCACTTTGGGCATGGACCAAGTCCAGGCCTTCCCATTCCATTTATTCTTTTCTTTTTAGGCCTAGAGGAGGACTTATCCAAAGATTAAGCTCAAGAAAAACAAGGGAAGGTGGAATGGGAGATGTTTGGATTTGCACATCTTTTTTTTTTTTTTTTTTTGCTTATATTATTTGGATTTGTTCTAGATTAAATAGGGTAATTTTCATTACCAAGTCTTGTCAAACTTTATCATATTTCATTGGCTTTATAAATTATATAATCAGTCAATTTTAGATTAAAACATCACATCACATATTAGAATATATAGTCAGAGATATAATTGTAATTATCTACAAAGTTAGAGTTAAATTTGTCATTCATCCTTTTTTTATATAAATACACATTTGTTGTTTAACAATAAAGATCATCTTCTCATTGTCCAAACACAGTGTCGAGCTCTCCTCTTCTCTCAATTCTACATTTTCTTTTTTTCTCTTCAAATCCATTAATTTTTCAGTTCAAACTGATATTTAAATTGTGATTATTCATAAAATCAACATAGTATCAGAGCATGCAAAGTTTTTCTTCAAAATTACTTATTGTAAAATTGATTTTAAAGCCCTAGCATCTGTTCATCAATCACCAATTATTATGGGCGCAATTCCGACTTCTGAGTTGTCAAAGCACAAAGAATCTATGTCGAGTCCATATTATCTTCATCCGAATGAGAATCCAGCAAGTCAACTCACCACTAATGTCCTTATAGGTAAGAATTATCACTCATGGTCTCGTTTAGTAAAACTAGCATTGATTTATAAGAATATGGAGGGCTTCATAGATGAATCAATTCATGTTCCAAACAAGGATGATCCTCTGTGCAGAGTATGGAAGAGATGTAATACTCTTGTTCTGTCATGGATCATTAAGTTTGTATCTCCCCCAATAGCTCAAAATATTATGTAGATTGATTCTGTTAAGGATCTTTGGAATGATTTATTTGATCGGTATGCACAAAGTAATTTGATTAGAATTTTAAATTTATCTGATAAAATTAATTCTCTAAAATAATGAAACAATTTAGTCACTGAGTACTTCACTCAGTTAAAAATTTTGTGGGACAAATTGTATAACATGCTGTCGGCTTGTGAATGTTGCAATGTGTAAGTAAAAAGTACTAGAAGACATAATCATAAAATTTCTCGAAGGACTGAATGAGTCCTTTAATGTTGTTAGATCACATATACTGCTTATGGAATCGTTGCCATCTTTGAACAAGGTGTTTGTCTTGGTAATTTAGCATGAAAACAGCCTTGATGTTGGAGTCTATTCACAACAGTATGAGTCAAACATTTTTATACCAATAAAGTTTATGAATCTCAACAAAATGCAGTGAATACTTACAATATAGGAAAATTGAAGAAGACTAATGGAACTAACAACAAGCGGCCTACTTGTACTCACTATAGGTTTTTTGGTCATACAGTTGAAAAATGTTACAAAAAACATAGATATCCTCCAAGCTACAAACCGAGACAAAAAAGTGTGTCCAATATAAATCAAGGCAGTTCTCATGCACTAGATACAAATTCAGAGTTTAGAAATTCACAAGTGAAGTTCAATTCTTAAGGCCAAATTTCAGTGAATATATCTTTCCCTTTTACTAAAGAATAATGTCAGCACTTGTTAGCTTTGCTTCAACCTTAAGCACCTAAACCAAACGGAAATCAAGCATCACAAGTTAATACACTTTCTGCCAATTTTTAGACTTTACCAGGTATTGCCTCTACCTTACCCTTCCATACTTCACTAAATGAATGGATAATTAATTCAAGAGCTACAGACCATGTAGTTAGTTCAATAGAAATGTTTGCTTTATGTAGACTAGTGACTAATATGTTTGTAAAATTACCTAACTCTCAAACAGTTCTTATTACCTACATAGGTGATATATATATTTCGCCTATGTTAACCCTTTACAATGCCCTATACACACCGAACTTTGCCCTCAATTTAATTTTTGTAACATATTGTTATCCAATTCCTTATATTGCTTAACCTTTCATGATTGTTTTTGTGAAATCTAGGATACACAAACCAAGGAGAGGATTGGTTTAGCTAAAGAGAGACAAGGATTGTATTACCATGAGGCAACAAATACAAAAATAGCAAACACTGTCAATGCTATAAAATCATGTTCCTTTGATTGTTCCTTTGTAAATTCTGGTTCTTCTCATTATAATAATATTGTTAATACTCATAATCTTTGGCATTATCGTCTTGGTCACCCTTCCACACCAAGACTTCATAGAATTCATCAATTAGACAAATCAATTTCTTTTTGTACTTCATTTATTTGTGACATTTGTCATCTTGCTAAATTTTCTTTTGATATTGTGCATATTGATATTTGGGGTCTTTTATCTGTCTCTTCTTTATATGGTCATCGTTATTTTCTCATCAATGTTGATGATAAGAGTCATTACACATGGTTATATCCTCTGAAAATAAAAGAAGTCAGAACAATTATTATTCAATTTTTTGCATATGTTAAACCCCAACACAAAGTAAAGATCAAAAGTGTTTGTACCAATAATGGTCAAGAGATTAATATGAATGATTTCTTTGCCATTAAAGGTATGGTGCACCGATGTTCTTGTCCATACATACCACAGTAGAATGGTGTAGTTGAAAGAAAACATTAACATATTTTAAATGTGGCAAGATTTTTGATGTTTCAAGCTCATCTACCCAAATAATTTTGGGTTAATTATGTGTTGCACGCAATCTATTTGATCAACCTATTGTCCTCTCCACTCATCAACAATAAGTCTCCTTTTGAACTTTTATTTCACTCTATCCCCAAATATCACCACTTGAAAGTATCTAGATGTTTATGTTACGCGTTTTGTTGAGCATATTTTTTCTTTTCTCCCTTTTGTTAATAACAGTTTAAATAATTTTACGCTTCCTTGTGTTGCTAATTTGATAGCAGAAAACAGTGACTTAAGTCAGATTGTACAAGATCAAGGTAATGCAGTCTCAAGCCAATCCAGCGAGCCAACTTCTTCTGGTAACATTTCCTTACATTCCTCAATTAATACTTTTATTCTTTTTGCCTCTTTACCATTAAATATTCTTAAAATAGAACTTATTTGTTCATAAAATTCCAACTCCACAGAACCCATATATGATGAACCTATTCCTTTACAAACCAGGCGGTCCACTAGACACACAAAGCAACCATTTCATTTGCATGATTACTATCTATATGGTCTTAGATCTTGCATCAATTTTATTTTTACCCCACATTGTATTTCTCATGTACTTTTTTATAACAACTTTGATCTAGTATAGAAGCCCTTTGTATTTGCTATATCCCAAGATGTAGAACCTAACTCCTACAACTAAGCAGTTCAATTTATATATTAGGAAGATATTATGTTAGCTTAAATTAAGGTCCTGAAAGAGAATAAGACTTAAAAATTAATTGATTTACCTCTTGGTAAGAAACTCATTAGTTGTAAATGGGTATATAAGATAAAAAGAAAGGTTGATGGCTCGATTGATAGATATAAGGCCAGGTTGGTTGTTAAAGGCTATAACTCAACGATCTAGTATTAATTTTTTAGATACTTTTTCTCTAGTTGCAAAATTAATGACCATTTGTACTATGTTAGTTGTGGTTGCAGTTAAACGATGGCATTTACATTAACTTAATATTAATAATGTTTTTCTTCATGGTGATTTACATGAAGAAGTGTACATGACTCTCCCTATTGGCTTTCATGGTTCGGGTAATTAAGTATGCAGACTTACCAAAAGTCTTTATAGTCTTAAACAAACAAGTAAGCAATGGCATTTCAAGTTGACTGAAGCTTTGAGAAATTTTGGTTTTATGCAATCCAATTCAAATTTTTTATTATTTCTTTGATGTTCAGAATCTTCTTTTATTGCTCTTTTTGTATATATTGATGATGTGATATTGGTAAGTAATTGTATGGTTCAAATTCAGATGATGAAGAATTTTCTTCATAATGAGTTCAAGATTAAAGATCTTGGTGAATGCAAATATTTATTAAGACTTAAGATCATTTGTTCTTTTGAATGTATTAATGTGAATAAAAAAATATATTTTGGATTTACTTTGAGATACTCGCTTCTTAGGTTGTAAACTAGCCTCAATGCCTATGACTTCATCAACAAAATTAGTTAAACATGATGGTTCCCAGTTTGTTAATGTTACTTCATACAAAAAATTTCTTGTTAAACTTTTGTATCTCACCAACACTCGACCTGATATTAGCTATTCAATTCAACAACTTTCACAATTTTTTAATGCTCTTACTAAGATTCATTTGCAAGCTACACATCTTGAGATATTTAAAGGGGACACTAGGATAGGAAATCTTTTATTCAGCTCGTACTTCATTGCATCTTAAGGCCTTCAAAGATTTTGATTGGGCCTCTTGTGCAGATTCTCGTAAATCTCTTACGGGTTTTCGTGTGTTTCTTGGTAATTTTCTTATTTTTTGAAAAACTAAAAAGCAATCCATTATTTCTCAATCTTCTTATGAGGCTAAATATTAAGTTTTAGCCATAGTTACTTATGAGTTACAATGGTTATCTTTTCTACTTGCTGACTTGCATATCACTTCTCCAACTATTGTTTTTGTATTGTAACAATTTGTCAGGTATTAAGATTGCAAAAAATCATGTATTTCATGAGCGTACCAAGTATATTAAAATTGATTATCATATCGTTCGACAAAAAGATTTCAAAATATCTCATCCGTTTGTTATCGATTTCTTCATATCAATATGCAAATTGTTTCACGAAGGCACTTCTCTCTTCTCAGTTTCAAAACTTCATTGTCAAGCTTGGTATACAGAATCTATGTATTCCAATTTGAGCGGGGCTTATAAGAATATACAATAAGAGATATCATTGTAATTATGTACAAAGTTAGAGTTAAATTTGTCATTCACCATTCTTGTATAAATATCTAATTGCTGAATATCAGTAAGGATCATCTTCTCATTTTTCAAACACAGTGTCAAGCTCTCATCTTTTCACAGTTCTGCATTTTCTTTTCTTCTCTTCAAATCTATTAATTTTTTAGTTGAAACTTAGATTTAAATGGTGATTACTCACAAAATCAACGTCACACGCTTAGCACTAAAATAGAAAGCCGGTGCATGTAAACTACATTATTAATCAAGATACATTGCAAGTTAACACTTTTCTCTCTTTTTTTTCCTAGAACTTTGGATTGTTAAAATGAAATCATGTGACTTTTTATAGTATTTGAAATCGCTTTTAATAAAATTAATAATGACTCTCAAATATTTCAAATTTATTATATTTTTGCAAAATTTTGTTTTGTTTCACCTAGTTGTAATGGGCAGAGTACCATCATTACTCGCTGATTAACTCCTGCATTCTTAACTGAACACGGTCTTAGGCTAGCAACCAACAATGGGCAAGTAAGTCTACCATATCTTGCCTCATTAACTCAATATGGGCTCATGATTGTAACTCATTTTTCTCTTAACATATTTAAGATGTCAAGCATCATGGAACTAAAATTATTCACTTTTAAGTATATAACTAAATTATCTCATACAAATCTTGGCAGTCTACCACACACAACAACCGCGCACATTTCCCATGCCACTCCCCGAGCTCCAAATTACCTTATTAGCCACTGGTGTTAATGCAAGGATTGGATTAAGTATCTAACTGGATGCCATCCATTTTAGAGTACCCATTAGCTTTAAAAATATCAGATTCCAGGATGTGAAAGGAAGCATCAATATGCAACTATATTATTTAAATTATACCAGAAAGAAAAACACACATTCTCATGGGACAATTAAACTTCTGCATGCAATAGCAAATCAGGGATGTAAAACAAATAACCAAAATTTAGGTTTAGCACCCTTCTCCTGTGAATAGAGCTAGTTTCCAACACAAAAAGATTTAAAATAACTAAGATTCACTGTCTCACAAACTTTAAGAACACTGTGAAAAACCATTTCACTTCCTACCACAGATCCTGGTAGCCTGTCTGTTTCTCTTCTTGGAACCAGATTTAGCAACCTTAAGGCTCCTGTGAACAACACTAAGTCTTGCCAAGGCTGCCTTCTTTAAATCTGGCCTGTAGTAGTTATCTGCAACCTGAAATTATTTTACAAAGAGAAATTAACCAAGACTTATAGTTATATAACCAAACTCCAAACTCCTCTACCTATGGATAAGATATACTATCAATGTTCAAGCTTCTTTAACTGCTTTAGCTAAATTCTTAAAACATAGACAAGAACAAAATGCTCAATAAACATGGTTGGCATGAGAACCAGAAAATCCTAAAAATATTTTTCAAAGCGAAGAATACTCCTTAGTTAAGAATGGACCACAAAAGCCAGGAATAACAAGTACATATCATTTGAAGCCCCAGCCCAAGTTAGCCCGTAATCACACAAGGAATAACAAGTAGATATCATTTGAAACCCCAGTCCAAGTTGGCCCTACATGTAATGCATTGACCACTTTTCAGAAGACAAAGCAATTGCCTGGTGATAAATGCCACTTATCCTTCAGAACCAATATTGCAATCTACAAATTTGGCTTATAATATAAGAGAATATAACAAAAAGATAAAACTAATGGTTGTCCACAAACAATTCTCACAACCATGCAGTTTATCAGTCAATTCCTTACCCGGCTTTCCATCTAACCTAAATAGGCCAAAGTGGTAACTGTATTCACAATTCAGGTTCTAAAAATCAGAGTTATGAGTCTCTGATAACTGAAGTCAAACCCAACAACACAATAAAAATAAGCCAGAGCAAATACCCAACAAGAATGGAAAACTACACTTCACTGGAAATAAGCGGTTACTACCACGGTGAAAATGCTAACATTCTAACAAAAACAAATTCTTCTGACGTTTATTTGGGAATGTGGAAGTAAAGTTCACCCGCCGACCACAAGATGCACACTGCAATCTACATTAAACATTTATTAATACCTGGTTGACAACGGCCTTGGCCATCCTAGGGAACTCCTTCCTCATGACCGACTTGTTAACTGCATTGACAGGCTTGTTTTGCTTCTTGGTTTTTGTAGTTGCAAGCACCACAGAGAGATCCTTGTCTCCTGGCTGAATGCTTACTGTCTTACGATTGGCCAAACCTAAGTTCAAGAAACAAAAGAGAATAACCACCCAGCTGATGAACTTTAGTAAGCCAAATCCAATACTATTCAACCATATAAAGCCCAACCGACGGCAAAAACCTAATCACATGTTTTGAATCTCAACCAGGTTTGAATTTGAACTCACATTTCAAATAGAGAAAAAAAAAAAAATCCACCTAATAAAACAATGAAACGCAACCGACACATCATATTTTTCCTTGGGCGTCTGCGGTACATTTCCCAATTAAATTTGATTTGCAATCTGATGTGGAAAGTTGATTTGCGACAAATAAAACTTAACGAACGAAATGACAAGTAGTCATTTTTCTTTCTTCAGTGGGTATATTTATATAGAAAGCGTAAGTACCAGAGTGCTTGTACGAATTGAGATTGTATAGATTGTTGGTCTCCTTGCTGAACTGGACGCTTGCGTTGCCCCTCCCGAACTGCTTCACCAAGAAACAATTGTTCTTCTTCACGATCTCCCAAATCAATTGTCCAGGAACTGACGCCATTTCACCAACCTTCACACCTAACGAACAAATAAACTATCAACACGCCGACACAGTGATGCGAGAGAGGTAGTTTTGCTCTATACACGGTATGAGATTGGAACAAAAACCTAGTCAGAACCACCTAAATGACATCACTTTCGAGACATCACGAAACAACTAGATACGACATGCATAAGTATGAGCGTGTTCGTGTGTGTGTGTGTGTGTATAAAGAGAGAGAGAGAGAGAGTGAGTGAGAAAGAATCTATGAAATGAATGCAAAAGCCGCGGTTCAGAGACTAGAAGACTTACAATCGCAAAGAGGGAGAAGAAGAGATGCCGGGGTTTTGGTTGCCTGCTAGTTGAGAAAAGCAAAGTGCCGAACTTTTTATGTTGGGTTCAAAACCCTAATTGTTAAGGGGAATGAAATTTCAGTTTGTGGTTAGTTTTCAGCTCTTGGGCGGAGAAGACATCCGGGCGTTTGGTCTAGTGGTATGATTCTCGCTTTGGGTGCGAGAGGTCCCGAGTTCGATTCTCGGAACGCCCCGTAACTTAGAATTTTTATCACTTTTACAAATTTACCGTGTCTTCCAATACATGGGCGTTAGATTTAACTGAACGGGAAAAAGGGGGGTTTGTAGTGGCAGTTTTTGTAATTTTAGCTTCTTTTTTTTTTTTTTGTTCTTTTTGTGGGGGTTAGTTTAATGCTGTGTTATCCAATTTGTGTGTCTTGGGTGGAGATATGATGAAAATACATTATTTTTATGTTGTGTTAATTTATAGCATAATTTTTAATTAGTATGAGGTGGTGTGTTACAGCTTACATTTCTGTCTGGTTCAATAATTTCTCACTTTAATTATGTTTTCATAAAATATCATTACTATTTCTTTTATTTTTAAATTAAGTTTCTCAAAGGAATATTTTCTTATATATTTTAAACTTTTTGTTATAAGTTTGATACTAATAAAATATAAGTTATTGATTAAAATCTTTCAATTATTTTAATTTAAAATTAAAATCCAATAATATAAAAGAATATTTTAGTTCGATTGTATCTTATTCTATTTTGTTATATTGTATGACATCAAATGTAAATGTTAATGTTAATGTATTATATTCCATAAAGCAAGGGCTCAAAATTAACAGTGTAATAATGATAATTGTATACACAAAGTGTACCCCTAAATATTACATTATGCCTTTGTTCCTTTTAACAAAGGGCATATACTATAAATTCTCTAAATATATTGTAATTGTTAAAAAAAAAAAAAATCTTTTTACTTTATAAAATATTTAAAAAAATTTATGTATTATTTTATTTTTTTCAAAATTTTCTCCATACTTTTAGAAAATACTAACATAGGAGACAACATGACAAGTAATATATCGCATCGTTTCAATTTGATGATATGGATGTCACGTCAATAACACATTAATTAATACATCAGCATATTTTTTTTCCTAAACATTGTTTCCTTTACTTAAATAACTTTTAGTAATTTTTTAAACCTTTCTTTCTTTTATCATGATAGATATCATCTTCTTTATCCTTGAACCTTGCTTCACGTTATCTGAGTACCCCAACTGTAAAGGTCCGGAATTTAAAAAGAAATAAAATCATAAATTAAATGCGGAACCGAAATAATAGAGTTTAGAATTTACATTCCTTACACAATGATTTAAAATATCTAATAGGGCTACGAGAATGTCTCTTCTAAAAGAATAAACGAAAATTATAGAAATAAACAAAAGACAATATACTGAGCATTCTAGGACGACATTCACTAGCTTTTGAAGGGAGTCCGAGTGATGAACTATTCATAACCCTCTTGTCGATCCGAATATGGGTCTTGGTCCTCTTTATTTGAAATAGTTAATGAAAGGGTGAGCTACACTACCCCAGTAAGAATATCACGCTACTCACCGATACAGAAACTGAAGGTTGGTAAAAAATCATAAAAACAACCAATGAAGCTCTTGATTTAAGTAAATTCATTTATTATAAGGAAAACCATTTATTACTTATATTTACCGTTGCAAAATTTTCAAAATTGACCTATAGAGACAATAACTTAATAACATTCTAATCTCATATTCAAGCGAGTAAAAATAACAATTTTTTTTTATTTGCCTACTGGTATCCTTGGGGGTCCATAGAAATGTTCCACTATGCGCGACCCAATATCCAACATTGTCAACTAACCGGCCGTTCCCATATCCCAATCAGTATGAGTGCCAAAAATATCATTCTTCAGTATTTCGTCCGACATAAGGGTAGTCAGGTCGTCCTCATACCCTGTCCGGTATGAGCGCCAAAAATACTATTTATCAATATCCCGTCCGGTATGAGACAACGTTTACGGTAGGATTCCCTATGTACCTGGTCCGTCCACCATCTTTTAGAATATTCAGTAAGACTACCATTCATTAATTCACATAACCAAACAATTTTTCGTTTGCCTATTAATTTTCAATTTTATAAATTAACTGTAAATCATGCAAGACAATCAATAAATATACATCAAGGAAGCACAACTGAATTATTTAACTATTTTAGTATATTCTCATATATTTAAAGCTGTAAAAGCAAACAATCAGTGACACATGGCAAATAAAT